CATGTCTGCCGATGATGTCACCAAGAGGGGGCATATAGATATTGAAGATGAGAGGACCAAGGACAGAGCCCTGAGGCATGCCGCGTGAGACGGTGGGGGGCTAGAGGAGAAGCCGTTTATGGAGATAAAGTGGAGACGGTGTGAGACATAGGATCTGAACCATTCAAGGACAGAACCATGAAGGTTGAGGTAAGAGGAGAGGTGGTCGAGGAGGAGAGAGTGGTCAATACTATTGAATGCAGCGGAGAGGTCAAGGAAGATGAGGAGGCAGAGGGAGCCCTGGTCACAGATGGACAAAAGGTCATTTGAAAAAAGCTGTTTCTGTGCTGTACAGCAACCTGATTGGAGTATTTTGTGAAGGGCGTGGTGGGAGAGGAAGGAGTGAAGCACAACCAAGGATTCGCAGGCTGGAGCAGAGGGAAGCTGTAGGATGGTCGAGCAGAGATAGGAGGCGGGATGGGCTGTGAGAGAAAAGGGTTGAACGGGAGTATTGGAGTGTGGGAAGCATTTTTGGGAGAGGCAACTCCGGTTGGTGTGGCAGCAGGTTGGTGTGGCGCTGAGACTAAGAGAGGGGGGGTGTGGTGGGGAGGTAGTCAGCGAGGTGTGGTCAGCCCACTGGCGTGGAGATTGTTATCGTCATTGTGAGTCCAGGCTCAGGGTTTTGAATGTGGTGGAAGGAAGCAACGTCATGCAGCAGCCGCCTGATAATATGATGATCTGAAATGACCGTGTTGGCACCTGGGCTAGTCGAGGCCACAGATCCCACGCTGATTCCGCACACTGGATCTGGTTGTCATTGGGGGCTCTTCGGTCTTCGCTGGTGTTGTCCTCAATCCCGACTCCAAAAAAGCCCTCCAGACAGATGCCATGAGCCCAAGAGTTCCAGGTAGCGCCTCACCTGTAGGCCTCGAAGCCCAACTCCAGGTGAGCTCCTCGCTTGTAGGCCTCGGTCTTCGCTACAGGCAACCCCACCGCAGGAGGCCATGAGTTCAAAAGTTCCAAGTTCCCTTTGCATCTGTCTTCTTAAAAGAAGAGGATGCAGTCAATCCCACAGTATCAGAGGGTTGGTATTGGGACCACAGCTCTTTTTAATCTATATAAATGACCTGGACTTGGGTATAGGGAGTACAATTTCCAAGTTTGCAGATGATACTAAGCTAGAAAAAGTAGTAAACACTGAGAAGGATAGTAGCAGACTGCAAATGGACATAGACAGACTGGTAAAACGTGGCAGATGAAGTTTAATGTGGAGAAATGCGAAGTGATGCATTTTTGGGAAAAAGAATGAGGAGAGACAATAGAAGCTAAATGGTACAATCTTAAAGGGGGTGAAGGAACAGAGAAAACTGAGGGTTCGTATAAGCAAATCTTTGAAGGTGGAAAGACAGGTAGATAAAGATGTTAAAAAAGCATATGGGATACTGGGCTTTATAACAACAACAAAATTACATTTGTAAAGCACCGTTCACATGCGGAGGAAATCCCAAGGCGCTGGACAGACATATTTACGGACCGGAGCTAGGGGCTGGGGTCAGGGAGGATGGAGGACAGAGGGGGAAGCAGGGAGATCAAAAGCACGGTTGAAGAGGAGGGTCTTGAGATGGGTCTTGAAGGTGGCAAGGGAGGGGGTGAGGTGGAGAGACTGCGGGATGGAGTTCCAGAGGGTGTGGGCAGTGTGGCAGAAGGCCCGCTCGCCAATAGTGGGGCGAGCAAAGCGGGGGACGTGAAGCAGGCTGGTGCCCGCTGAGCGGAGTGAGTGAGCGGGATGGTAGGGTGTTAGGAGGTCGCAGAGGTAGGGGGGAGCAAGACCATGGAGGGCTTTGAAGATGAGGGTCTTGAACTGTATCCTCTGTGTGATGGGAAGCCAGTGGAGTTGGGCAAGGATAAGGGTGATAGTGTTGCGGAACCTGGTGCGGGAGAGGACACGGGCTGCAGAGTTCTGGATGATCTGCAGATCCAGTGTGCGGAGTCAGCGTGGGATCTGTGGCCTCGACTGGCCCAGGTGCCAACACGGCCATTTCAGACGTTTCGGAGGTGGGGGAAGGCAGAGCGCTTCATGACGCATAGGTAGGAGCATAGAATACAAAAATCAGGAAGTTATGATGAACCTTTATAAAACACTGGTTAGGCCTCAGCCAGAGACTGTGTTCAGTTCTGGGCCCCAAACCTTAGGAAGGATGTGAAAGCATCGGAGAGGGTGCAAAGGAGATTTACCAAGATGGTACCAGGAATAAGGGACTTCAGTTATCAGGAAAAGCTAGAGAAGCTTAGGATTATTCTCTTTGGAGCAGAGAAGGTTAAAAGGAAACTTAGTAGAATTTTTCAAAATTATGAGAGGTTTCGATAGGGTGGAGAAGGAGAAACTATTTCCACTGGCGGGTTGGTCGGTAACCCGAGGGCACTGATTTAAAATAGTTGTTAAAAGAAACAGGGGAAGTGAAGAGAAATGTTTTCACACAGCAAGTTGTTCAGATCTGGAATGCATTGCCTGAAAGGGTGGTGGATGCAGATTCCATAAAAGCTTTCAAGAGAGAACTAAATAATTATTTGGGAAGGCAAGTTTGCAGGGCTATGGGGAGAGAGCGGGGGAGTGGGATTGAATTGGATAGCTTTTTTCAAAAGTCGGAACAGACACAGTGGGCCAAATGGTCTCCTTCTGTGCTGTATAATTCTATGATTCTATGATTCTTTGGTAAGGTACTAAATTCAAAAGGTAAAATGTTGAATCTATTTCGGTAGTGCGCACAGGCAGCAGTCAGGCTTCACAGAGTACTATAATACAGATATATTAAAAAAATACAAAAAAATAAAGTTGTTGAGCTGCATGCACAAGCTACCACATGGGGTTATGATGTAGTGGCAATAACAGAGACCTGGCTCAAACAAGGGCAGGAATGGGAGCTTAACATTCCTGGCTACAATGTATTCAGGAGGGATAGGTAAGGAAAAAGTGGAGGTGGCAATATCGATCAAAATGCAATTACAGCCCAGGAAAGGGATGCTGTGCTAGAGGGATCAAAGACAGAATCTTTTTGGTTAAAGTTAAAGTTAAAGGATTGGCAAAGCAAGGGTAGGGCCAATTATGAAATAATTTTCATAATGAAAACTTGTTGTGGAGGCAGAGGACATGGCTGAGGTACTGAATGAGTACTTTGCATCTGTGTTCACAAAAGTGGATGCCACTAATGTCACAGTAAAGGAAGAGAGGGTAGAGAAATTGGATGGGATAAAAATAGATAGAGTGGAGGTACTTAAAAGGTTAGCCGCGCTCAAAGTAGAAAATTCACCCGGTCTGGATGGAATGCATCTTAGATTGCTGAGGGCAGTTAGGGAGTTAACCATCCATCTCCCCTGTTCAAAAAAGGGAAGAGGGATAAACCTGGTAACTATAGGCCAGTGGTGGGGAAATGTTGGTGGTGAATAAACTTCTAGAGATCATAATCCAGGGCAAAATTAATTTTCACTTGGAAAAACACAAGTTAATTATTGAAGGTCAATATGGATTTATTAAAAGCAAATCGTGTCAAACTTAATTGAGATATTTGATGACATAATGAAGAGGATTAACGAAATAGTGCAGTTGATGTAGTACATATGGACTTTCAGAAGGCATTTGATAAGCTGACACATAATAGACAAGTTAGCAAAATTGAAGCCCATGGGATAAAAGGGTCAGTGGCAACATGGATACAAAATTGTCTGGAAGACAGAAAGCAGAGAGTAGTGGTGAATGGTTCTTTTGAGACTGGGGGGGGAAGTATTCAGTGGTGTCCCCCAGGGATTGGTATTAGGTCTACTGCTCTTTTTGATGTACATAAATGACTTGAGTATAGAGAGTTACATTTTAAACATTTTAAAGTTTGCAGATGGCACATAACTTGAGAACGTACTAGACAGGATGGTCACAGACTGCAGGAGGACATAGACAGACTGGTCAAATGGACAGACACATAGCAGATGAAGTTTACTATAGAGAAATATGAGGTGATTCATTTTGGGAGGAAGAATGAGGAGAAAATGGTACAGTTTTAAAGGAGGTACAGGAACAGAGAGACCTCGGGCGTCACGTACACAGGTCTTTGAAGACCAGACAGGTTGATACAGCTGTTAGAAAGGCATATAAGATCCTTGGCTTTATTATAGAGGCATAGAGTACAAAAGCAAGAAAGTGTTGCTAAACTTTTATAAGTCATTGGTTAGGTCTCAGCTGGAGTATTGTCTCTAATTATGGGTACCACACTTTAGGAAGGATGTCAAGGCCTTGGAGAGGGTGCAGAGGAGATTTACCAGGCATGAGGGACTTTAGTTATCTGGAGATACTAGAGAAGCTGGGATTGTTCTCCTTGGAGCAGAGAAGGTTAAGGGGAGATTTAATAGAGGTATTCAAAATTATGAGGAGTTTTGATAGAATAGTAGGGAGAAACTGTTTCCACTGGCAGGTGGGTCAGTAACCAGGAAAAATAGATTCAAGATAATTGGGAAAGGAACCAGAGGGGAGATGAGAATTTTTTTTTACACAGAGTTGTTGAGGTCTGGAATCCACGCCCTGAAAGGGTGGTGGAAACAGATTCCATAACAACTTTCAAAAGGGAATTGGATAGGCACTTGAAGAGGAAAAATTTGCAAGGATATGGGGAAAGAGGGGGGGAGTGGGATTGATTGGGTATTTCTTCCAAAAAGTCAGCACAAGCACGATGGGCTGAATGGCCTTCTTCTGTGCTGTAATATTCTGTGATTTCCAGCAATGAAAGAGAGAGAATGTCATCCAGGATTCCTCCTTCTGATCTTTATTAAACTACTCCCTGCTGGAAAGTGTTATGTATGTGTGACGTGTGGTGAAGACAGGGATTCAGGGCGCAGTGGCTGAAAGCACAGCTGACACCCCTCCAAGCTTAACCTGCTATCTTCAATGTCAAAACTCAAACACAAAGACTAAAAGTGAAAAAGAGGAACATACATTTTAATATTGACTATAAGATCCTATGCCTCTGTCTATCCAGGAGTTCTTCATTGATGATGATTCTCAGTAAAGAGAATGCAGTGGAAGAATGGAGAAACATAATGGGCCCAACAGACCCGGAGGTGGCAAAGGAGATAGCACCGGAGTCTCTCCGAGCCAGGTTTGCCAGGAACATCTTACAGAATGCCCTGCATGGATCTTCAAACCAAAGCCAAGCTATGGAGAAAATTCAATTTGTCTTCGGGGACATTACAATAGGAGCAGATGGGATTGTCCAAGGTAAAGGATCAAAAGTTACTATGTATGAAAAATATTAATGGTGATTTATAGAAATATTACTGATATAATCAGTCGCTCCAGTGGATGAGCCAGCACCATTGTAAGCTTGATGGGCCAAGTAGCATCCTACAATTTCTACAATCTACAAAGTGAACAGGGAAGAGACAGGCTAATAGCAAAACTGTACTGAAAATTTTGTCCCCTGTATAGCAATGTAAATAAGCGAAACACTCAACCTCAGTAAATAAATATATCCTTGCATTTGATAAAGCGCCTTTCATGTTATTGAGATGTCACAAAACACTTCACAGAATATACTGCACGGAGGTTTTGATTGTGTATTTTGTGAGCGAAATACAGCAGCCAGTTGTGCATAGCAATATCGCACAAATAGCCATGGCATAAGTGACTAATTTTATCTGGGAGATTGTTGGCTAGGACACTGGGAGAAATTCCCTTCTCTTTTCAAATAGTGCCATGGAATTTTTAACATCCACCTGATGGGACCTCCGTTTAATGTCTCATCTGAAGTCGGCCCATCCGAAAATGCAACCGCGCCCCTCCCCAGCTCTGCATTGGAGTGTCAGCTTCAACTATGTGATTCCAAGTCCCGACGTGGGACAACCTTCTGACTCAGAGGCAAGAGTCCTACCACTGAGCCACTCTGACACACTCAGTAAAACTCAACTTACTCCTTGCCTTTCAGGTGTTGAGCCAGATTTGGAGAAAGCAGAGAGGCCAAATTCGGGAGACAGGCCTGAAGGTATGTGTTAATTGTTCTGGAATGCTATCCTACGTGACGGGTGCTACATAAATCCAAGTTATTCTGTCTTTGATGTTGTTAACAATCCCAGATGAAGTGATGAGGGAAGGAAATTCAGACCGGGAGACAGAACCGACAGATGTTGCACTTCTGATATGATGGGTTCAACTGTGTTTTTGTGTAACCCTCCTATCAATCAGTTTATTCTTCAGCTCGAGAAAGCAGCAGAAAGAGAACAAAGGATCGATTGCAGATCACTGCACATATGAGGGTAACAATTTAGATATCACTTATCAATTGTATCCTGCAATCCATTTTATGGAGGAATAACAAATTACATTTGTATAGTGCCTTTTACATCAGGAGGACGTCCGCCTTAATGATTAACAAATTCAGGTGTCAGCCTGGCTTAGTTGGTAGCACTCTCGCCCCTGAATCAGATGGTTGTAGGTTCAAGCCCCACGTATGGTCTTGGAGCCCATATAGTCCAGGCTGCCAACAAAGCAGTGCTGGGGGTAAACTGCATTGTCAGAGATGCTGTCCTTTGCATAAGAAAATAACTGAGGTCCTGCAAGCCTGTCCTCAACAATAACAACAACAAAATTACATTTATAGAGCGCCTTTCACGTCGGGAGGATGTCCCAAGGCGCTGGACAGTCAGGGGTCAGGGCCCAAGCATGGAGAGGAGTGAGGTAGGGGTGAGGGAAGGCAGAGAGGAGGGAGACTGAAGGCACGATTGAAGAGGAGGGTCTTGAGAACGGCCTTGAAAGAGGCAAGGGAGGAAGCGAGGCAAAGGACTATGGGATGGGGTTCCAGAGTTTGGGGGCAGAGAGGCTGAAAGCCCGGCCACTGATGGTAGGTCGGGTCGGGTGGGAGACATGGAGCAGGCCGGAGCCCACTGAATGAAGGGAGTGAGCAGGTTGGTAGGGAGTCAGCAGGTCAGAGAGGTAGGAGGGGGTAAGGCCATGGATGGCCTTGAAAGTGAGGATGAGGATCTTGAATTCGATCCTCTGGGGGATGGGGAGCCAGTGGAGTCGGGCGAGGGTGGGAGTGATGGGGTCACGGAGCCTGGTGTGTGAGAGTACACGAGCTGCAGAGCTTTGGATGATCTGCAGCTTGTGAAGGGAAGAGTTGGGAAGGCCAATAAGGAGGGAGTTTCTATAATTAAGTCTTGTTGTGACAAATGCGTGGGTGAGGGTTTCGGCAGCCTGAGGGGTGAGGCAGTGGCGGAGTCTGGCAATGTTGCGGAGGTGGTGGTAGGCAGTGCCGGTCATGGCGCGGATGTGGGGGAGAAAGGACAGTTCAGAGTCAAACAAGACACCCAGGTTCCTGACTGGCTTAGTGAGGTTGAGTTTGCAGCCGTGGAGGCTGATGCTGCCAGCGCCCGAGGTGCAGAGGCGCTGGCACGAGCCAATCAGGAGGGCCTTGATCTTGCTGATGTTCAGTTGTAGAAAGTTGTCCCTCATCCAGGACTTGATGTTGGACAGGCAGTCGGTCAGGACGCCAGTAGTCCTGGAGTTCAGGGTGGAGGCAGAGAGATAGAGTTGGGTGTCATCCGCAAACATGTGGAAATTTACCCCATATCTGCGGATGATGTCACCAAGGGTGGGAGCATGTAGAGGGTGAAGAGGAGGGGACCGAGGACAGAGCCCTGTGAAACACTGCACAAGACGGTGCGCGGGCTGGAAGTGAAGCCGTTCGCAGAGACAAAGAAGAGGCGGTGTGAAAGGTAGAACCTGAACCAGACAGAATCTTGAAGGTTGAGGTGGGAGGAGAGGCGGTGGAGGAGGATTGAATGGTCCACAGATCAAAGGGGGCGGAGAGATGGAGGAGGACAAGGAGGCAGAGGGAGCCCTGGTCACACATGGTCAGGATGTCATTTGTGACCTTGACCAGACCAGAGCAGAAACCCAATTGGAGGGGCTCATGGAGGGAGTGGGAGGAGAGAAACGAGCGAAGCTGGGAGCTGACAGCTCTCTCAAGGACCTTAGACAGAAAAGGGAGGTGGGAAATGGGCCAGCAGCTGGATAGCTGTGATGGGTAAAGAGAAGGTTTCTTCAAGGTGAGGATGATAATGGCTGTTTTGAGGGGGTAGGAACAGTGCCAAATGACAGGTTGATGATGTTGGCGAATAGTGGGGCAAGGCTGGGGTTTAAGGAGAGGGGTGGGGATAGGCTCCAGGTAGCAGGTGATGAGCTTCATGGAGGAAATGGTGGTGATGACAGAGGAGGTGTGACAGGTTCAAAGGTGTGGAAGGAGGGATGGGTAGTGGTCAGAGTGTGCGGTGGGTGGGCGTAGGGAGGGGGTGGAAGTTGGGAGAGCAGTTGCAACTGAGTGGATTCTCTCGATTTTGGGCTCAAGGAAGTCCAGCATTTCCTCGCGGTGGGAGTCGGAGGAAGGAACCCACAAAGCATGGCGGGGAGGGCGGAGGAGCTGGTTGGTGGTGGAGAAAAGGAGCCTGGGGTTGCTATTCATCCTCCAGGATTAACCTGGAATAGAAGGATGATTTGGCCGAGGCGAGAGCCAAGTGGTAGATTTTGATGAGGTCCAGCCAGGTGTGCCAGTGGACCATTAGGCTGGATTGGAGCCAAGTGTGTTCAGCAACTCACACTTGGCCCTTGAGCGAACGGAGGTGGCTGGTGAACCAGGGTGAGGATCGGGAATAGGAGGCAGTTCGGGAGGTGAGGGGGGCAAGGACGTCGAGTGTGGTGAAGAGGGTGCTGTTGTGGAGAGTAAAAGCAGAGGATAGGTTGGTGCGGGAGGTGGGCCAGAGAGGGAGGAGTTCAGAGGACTCCAGGGCAGTAGAAAGGGATTGTGGGGAAATCTTCTTCCACGGGCGGTAGAAGATGGTGGTAGGTTTGGAGGCAGTGGGGAGAGGGATATGGGAGTTAAGGGAAATGAAATGGTGGTCAGAGATAGCCTTGTCAGTGATGGTGGCATCCGAGACACTGAGGCCCCGGATGATCACCAGGTCGAGTGGGTGAATGTGTGTGTGGGTAACAGAGTTGATGTGGAGGGAGAGTTTGAGATAGGAGAGGAGAGAGGACAAGTCTGAGGAGGTGGAGCAAGAGGGGGTGAAGTGGAGTTTGAAGTCACCTAGGATGATGAGGCAGTCGGAGCAGAGGCAGATGCAATCTAGGAGGGTGGAGATGTCAGAGATGAAGGTGGGGGAGGATTTTGGGGGGTGGTAAATTAGGAGAATTTTTAGTGAGAGATGGGAGGGATAGCGGAGGGTAAAGAGTTCAAAAGAGGGGAATAAGCCGGTGGAGTAGGGGGAATAGGGCAAGTGACGCCCTGGATATGAGGGCCACCCCGCCGCCACGTCGGTTGGGACATGGGCCATGGTGGTAGTGTAGCCGGGTGGTGTGGCCGCAGTGAGGAGGAAGGTGTCACCTGGGGTGATCCAGATTTCAGTGAGGGCCATAATATCAACATTCTCATCAAGGATGAGATCATTGATGGCCAGGGTCTTGTTGCAGATGGAGCAGACAGTTGGAGTGGACAGTTGGTAGGGGGATGTGTGGGATGGGAGGGGATAGTGGATTGGTTGGCAGGGAAGATGGGGATGCGGATGAGGGAGGAGAGCCCCTGGGGTCTGGGTCCAGGGTGGCTTGCGGCGGTAATGGGGAATGGGGCAGTCGGTGTGGCTGCTGCTGGACAGCCAGTGCCATGATGACCCCAGCGGAGGATTCCCAGGCTGGAGCAGAGGGAGGCAGTGGGGGGGGTCAAGCAGAGATAGGTGGCGGGGAGGGCGGAGAGAGAGGACAGAGCGGGAGATTTGCAGGGAGGAGGACATTTTGAGGGAGGGCCAGCTCGGGTCGGGGGCGGCAGCCAAGATGTGCACAAGAGGCGGCGGATTAGTGGGACATTGTCAGTCTGGAGGAGGCTGTGGGGGCTAGAGGTGGCGCAGAGCAGGGAGGACGCTCATTGTGGTTAACAATGAGCAGCCTGTAGGGGAAGGACAGGGGAGGGAGACAGACAGACCAATGGCCGGAGGGAGAGAGGGAGGGATGGACGGATGGACGGGGGGAGGGAGGGAGACACACTGGTCCAGGCTATAGCCAATGCTGCACCTGCTACCAGTGATTCAAACCTAGCGGGCAGAAGTGACGTCACGCAGAATGGCGGGAAAATCTGAAAGTCCAAAATGGCAGCTCCCGCTAACCAGATAATGGCCGCCACTCAATCCCTGGCCCCAAGACACCCGCCCCACCTCAAGGTCCACGAGAATCCGGTGGATTTTAAAGATGCTATGCACTATTGGAAAAGAGAAGAGAGTTTCTCCCTCTGTCCTGGCCAACAATCTCCCAGATAAAGAAAATTAGTCGTTCATTCTATAATAATAATTATATTCATTTGATATAGTGACTTATCATTTTGATTGAGACAGCTCAAAGCGAATATACTGTAAAGTCCAATTGACTATATATTTTGTGGTCGAAATACCGCAGCCAATAGTGCACAGTAGTGTCCCACAAACCGTCGTGGATTGAGTGACCAAATTATTATTAGTTTTATAAAGGGATTAATACCCCGGAAAGCAGTTTGCCAATTGACTAACAACTGGGTTTCACATTTCTTGATGTTGTGATTAGGTTCTATATGCAAGGATTATTATAATCTAAATCTATATTTGTCAGTGTGGGTGTAGTGAACATCGAGTTCCTGATATTAGGTATTCAGAAAGAATGCTGTGCTTGTGCAATGGCCACTTGCCCAGTTTTCACCCTGACATGCCATTGAATTATTGGGGCCAGGACTAAAGGGACGGTCTGTGCAGTGTGGGGGTGGGGGGGGGGGGTGGTTTGTGCTGAGGTTCACAAAGAAAGTTCACAGTCGATAATCTAAAATGAGAGGTTCACCAAAGATGTTGCTCAAATTACTGTCCAAAAAAGAAGTACTCTCCCCAGCTTCCAACTTGAAACAGTTCAAATGCAGGTTTTAAATGGAAAGTTCCAGTCTGTAGGAAAAACAGCTTTTAATTTTCCAGTTTCATAAAT